CACAGTCCATTACTTACCTTCCAGTGACAATGCCACTTGACACTAGTAAAGAACCCATTGGTCCCTTTTAGATTAGTTCAGTTCCATATTCCCAGCCTCTTCTACTTGGCAAAGACCATCTTGCCATAGCATGACTCAATACCTATAGCCAATTTCCCCTTCTCATTACTATATTTCTATCCAGCCTAGTTCTTAGGAAGGTTTCCTATTATATAGCCTCTTCATGGACTTACTCTCTTTTCAACCACATTACATAGCTATCTGTTTTCAGGTCTCCACTCAAGAATCCATCTGCAAGGCCCAAGGTGAACTATTAACTCTGCCTCAATTTTAGAATTGTGACGAGTGTACAACATGGGTATTGGTCTTGGCACACGCCAGCTCTGTAATGGTATCATATATGTGTTAATGCTCAGTTGAAACCGGGCTGCTGCATTATCATATGTCTGCCTGATGGATTATGGCGCTGTGGTAAAAAACTATGGGCAATTTGTCAGTCACTGTTGATTCCTCTAGAATACATACATAAAAAAATCCCTCTAACAAATAACAAGAGTATCATGAGAAATCCAGATAAATGATGTGCTTATTCATGGACTCCCTTTCTGTACAAACAGATACGGTTATACTATAAATTGTCCAGGGACAGCGGATGAGGGCATAAGGCTCTAGGCACATTAAAGGTTTTCTTTGCAGACTGCAAGGGTTTGTAGAAGATAAAAGAACTGGAGAGTTCTGGCTGGGGTAGTTACGGTTGAGATTTAATGGGTGGAGGTGAACAAAGCTTGGAGTGCAAGATAGTAATAGTGTAAAGGTAGAAATGGCCTTATATGTGTGGAAAGCTGATTTCGACTTCTTTCTTAGTCTTGAGATGTTTTAGTAGTTTGGATGAACTCAGTGTGACCTTGAAAAAAGCATGGAGATGAGTAGCGTAGGAGGGCAGGCAAGTGTGTTATGCCACTGATCAAGCAGAACAGAAATCTGTGTTCCTTGGAGAAGTACCCATCTCAACAGCTTCAGTAGTTGTGGTGGATTAGAGGATAGAAAGCATGCCCTCTGTATGACCTTGCAAGCGCTGTCGAAGGATAAAAATATTATTTTAAATGTAACTGTACCGTTTGTACCGTTATTCCTATCATAACCAGCTTTGGCCAATAACATCCGTTTATTATAACTCTGAAAATTGCCTTCTTTATCTTTATAATTCTCACCATGGAGAAGCAGAGTTAATCCTCCTTATCATGAGAAACTACATGTTTGTCTTTATCAGAGAGATGTTCTTATCTTTAAATATAAACTAAAAAAAAAAAATACTAGAACAAATCAATAAATGTACAAGCAAAGATAGCAAAGATCAGGGGATCATGGTAGGAAAAGAGTAGGCTGTATAAGGGGTTGTAAATTGTAATAATCACTGGTAAAATCTGTTGGAGCCATACAACATACGCAATATAATAGACAAACTGCATAATACTACAAGCAAAACAGTATAATGAATCAAGACATTTGAAAAAAAATCCAGAGGAACAAAATGGAAAAAAATGAAACAATCTTTATGTGCTTTTAATAAAACAGACAAGTTTCAGTAAAAGATCATTACAAATTACTAAAGAAATGTCAAAGGCATCTCAGGATTCAAAGATGATTATGCAACCTGGGCAGCTCCTGGGTTGAAGTGGGCTATTGGATAAGTTCCAGTTATGAAGCCTTAACACCAGTTGCAAGTGAAAAATCAAGAACAAATATAGCCTAAGTTCTTGTAGAAAGGTTCTCATTCACACCGCAGACGTTACTGTTAGTGAATAAGCTATACGTCAGTATGAAAGTACTCCACTAAATAAAATGTTGAAAAATCACATATAATTTGTGTTAATCTTTATTTATGTGATGCTTTTTTAAAAAACTTAAAAAAAAATTATATTTAGTAAATTAAGATATCGTAAATTACATCTCAATACAGTTAAGTCTAGGTATTTGTCTCGATATTGGGCAAATGAGCAGGAGAAATGGAAATATTATTTCAGTTCTCAGTATGCCTTGTCTAGGCTGACTCTCGGGTGCAAAGGACACAGCATATAATAATGACTTGACGGAGCCAAAATAGAAGCAAATAGTTGCAGGGTTAAGATTTTTAATTTTACTTTTCCACACCTTACAAATACCTATTTGTTGAACCAATACTCCAAGCACCATAACCATTAGAAATCACGATAGTGTTCTAAGTTAGAACCTTCTGTTTTTTTTGGCATTAGTGATAGAAGGGGATAGCGGCATCAGATAAACCCCAGGTAAGAAAGTCAAACCAGTCTCCTTACAAAAAACAATACAGTGAGCTGAGTAATGCTTGGTGTCTTCCTTTAAATATAGGTGATAAATAAACATAACAGAAAAAAAATCTGGAAAAATGATAATACTCCATCTTTAAATGTGACTTGCTAGTCTCTCTATCATCAGTGTCTACTCCTGTAATGTGAACGTTACTTTATCTCTGTCTGTAGGAAATGTCTGGGGAAGCATTTCAAGGTATCCTTTAACCTGATTTACAAATTCTTTGCATTGAGCTGGGTTGCCCCCAAAATACTGAGGGAGCGGGACAGACCCAGTCATTCCTCTAGCCGCAACAGGTTTGGAGGCTGCAACCGGTGCTAGAACAGGAAGTGAGGCAGAGGCGGCTGCAATCACAGGCTGGCCGGGTGCTGAATCCAGATGAGCATACTGGTCCAAATGGTGGTTCTGCTGGTCCCACCGAGTAAATAGGTTAGGCATAGGTGTATTGCCTGTACCATCTGTATTCATGGCCCTTGCGTAATGTTAGGGACCAGGAACCAGACAGAGACAGAACTAGATGCAAAAACACCTTTATTAATAAATAACAAATAAAGAAATAACCAAAAGCAAAGTCCAGGAGGCAAGCAGGGGTCAGTCACCAGAGCGGGTAGTCAGACGAGCCAGGATCAGGAGAACGGAGAGCAGCGGAGTCAGGAAGAAGGCCAGAGTCAGGAACCAGGAACAAACAGGAAACACAGGAACAAGGAGACTTCTGGGGAACAGGAAACCACGCAAGGGCAAGGAGGTATTGGGATTTGCTGCTTAAATAGGCTGCACTGATTAGCAGCAGGGCTGGTTACTACTATCAGGTGAGTAACCGTGGCAATCTAAGCTAAGGCTAAAGTGCATGCACTGCAAAACGCAGCGCTGTGCCAATCAGCATCTCCTCATAGAGATGCGTTGAATCAATACATCTTTATGGGGAGTGTTCAACATCTCCATGCAGAGGGTGGAGATGTTGAACGTCAGTGATGCACACTGCGGCACTGACCCAGGAAGCACCTGTAGTGGCCTTCTAAGTGACTTCCACTAAAGGGGTTCCTAGTCAGTATTGTAAAAAGCCTACAGGTACAGGCTGTTGACACCAGAACAACTACAACTTAAAGTAGTTGTTAAGGTGACTGTAGTATCTATTTAAGTTTTGTATTTGGAGACTATGGGGGTTATGTATAGTATATGTCACATGCTTAAAAGTGGCCTAAAATACTGAAAATTAGGCAAACATTGTGGAAACCGGTTGAACCAGCAAGTAGAGTGGATTGGTGACTCTGCCTCTTCTCTGTATTTGCACCACCTTTCAGAACAGAGAGTTTGTTTATATAGTAAGCTGAAAAACTGAGTTTTTTTTTTACTAATTACCATAATGCCAAATTATAATCTGAATGTATCTGCAGAGTGGTGAAATAACATGTTCATAATAATGATGTGATGTTTAAAGGACCACAATAGTGCCAGGAAAACATACTAGTTTTCCTGGCACTATAGTGCCCTGAGGGTGCCCCCACCCTCAGGGTCCCCCTCCCGCCGGGCTCTAGGGGGAGGAAGGGGTTAAACTTACCTCTTTCTCCAGCGCCGGACGGGGAGCTCTCCTCCTCCTTTCCGCCTCCTCTCCTCCTCTTCGGCTGAATGTGCATGCGCAGCAAGAGCCGCGCGCACATTCAACCAGTCCATAGGAAAGCATTCTGAATGCTTTCCTATGGACGCAAGCGTCTTCTCACTGTGAAAATCACAGTGAGAAGCGCGGAAGCCCTCTAGCGGCTGTCAATGAGACAGCCACTAGAGGCTGGATTAACCCATAGGTAAACATAGCAGTTTCTCTGAAACTACTATGTTTACAGAAAAAAGGGTTAATCCTATCTGGACCTGGCACCCAGACCACTTCATTAAGCTGAAGTAGTCTGGGTGCCTATAGTGGTCCATTAAGTTCTAACGATAAGTGTCATTTTAAAAGAAAGGTTAAAGTAACGTGTTCTGGATAGGATGAGAACCTATATGGCTCATTAGGGCTATTTACTAAATTGAGAATTCAAAGTGAATCTCAAATGTGAGGTTAATACAGCCAAACTGGAAACATTCTCTCAGTCAGCTACTCTGGCCTTTAGTGTCAGGAATACACACATGTATTCCTGACACTGTAATGTTAAAAACTCATTTTATCAATCTATATCTATGGGGAACATTCAGCGTCTCCATGCAGAGCATGTCCAGGGATGTATTTGACTTGTACTGGCTCTGACCCTGATCTGTCTCCTTGACAATCTCAGCCAATCCTAAGGGGAATCATTGTGATTGCCTAAGACTAGCACTTCTAATGATGCCAGTCAAGCAGGCAGATTAGGGTCAGCAGCTGCAGACTTGAATACAAGTAGGATTTTACTATATTTAGGGAGGCCACGGGGGCAAGTTGGTGGTTCTAACAGTCAGGAAAGCATGTTTGTGTTCCTGACCCTATAGTGTTCCTTAAAGCTGTAGTTGTTCTGGTGACTGTAGTGTCCCTTAAATTTCAAATTTCTTACTTTAGTAATTAACCCTGTATGGGCAACAAGCCTAGTGACATTTTGAATGCGTTCTTATGATGTGCAAAAAAGAAAAGAAAGATGGAGCCATTGCAATAGTGTATCCTGCTGGATGACAGCTCGGTTAGTCACTGTACTATAATCTACTATTATTACTTCTTTCAGATGCAGAGAAAACAGAAGGAAAAGACAAGCTTGACAAACCAGATAAAAGAATTTGAAGACCGAATTAAAGCTATGTCTGACCACCTGAAAAATGTCAAACAGGAGTTAAACTACACTCAGGTAACATGTTAAAACTGTAAATTGAGTTTGACAAATCTAGGAATCCATATGTTTTTTCCCATTTACAAATACATTTTGAATTGTAATGATTTCAAGGCAGCATTAGAAACCACTAAGCAGTTCACAATTCTGTATTAACATGGGGAAAAAAATATATTCTAAACCTGAAAAGAGGGTAGTCTTCATACTATTTACATACCCCACAATTTTGTATGCTGTGAAACTAGATGCCGGGGGAATTCAGCTATGTGATTTGTCACTCTGTACTTTAATCAAGTAAGCTGGCCCACCAAAAGTGGACAATGTATCAGTACTCTCCAGTAGCATACACACAATCCATGGGGAAACACACTATGCTGCGACCTCTGCGACCGCGGTATGTACGCAACTGGTACTCTCCACAGGTTCCTAATGACTTGAGCATAGTGCTCATGCCATGCATCTTAGGAAACAAGATTGGATCAGTGGGAAAAGAACCAAAAGTCAGGACTTGCCCCATTGAAATCAAGATGGTTGTGAGCCCTGTGGTTAACTTCTATATACATTCTTAGTACTTTGCTAGGATTCTAATATTGGCAAACATGCAGTCTATTGAATATATAAAGTTATAATAACAAAAAAAATTTTTTTAAATGTTAGATACCTTTTACAAGCAATGAGAGTGGTACAGCATTAAAGATGATATCCAAATGCTGTGAGAATTTTCTTTTAGTGTGAGTCAGGGCTCGTTTGGTATCATTACTAGGGATGTGCATGGGCCAAAAATTCAGTTCGGTTCAGCACTTCCGAAATTCGGGACTTCAGCAATTTGGGTCTTCGGCACTTCAGTTATGCACTTCCGAAATTTGGGACTTCGGCAATTTGGCCCTTCGGCGGTTCCGAAATTCGGGAATTCTGCAGTTCGAGACTTTGGGAATTCCCTAACCTTACCTCTATCCCTAACCCTTACCCTACCGCTAACCCTACCTCTACCCCTAACCCTACCTCTATCCCAAACCCTTACCCTAACCATACTCATAACACTACCCCTAACCCTACCTCTATCCCAAACCCTTACCCTAACCATACTCATAACACTACCCCTAACCCTACCCCTACCCCTAACCCTACTAGTGGTAGGGGTAGGGTTAGGGTTAGAGGAAGGTTGGGGTAAGGGTTAGGGGAGGGGTTAAATTAAATAGAGGCCTTAGATTCAGATTCAACTTTATTATCGATGTACAATGTACATACAAGGACAATGAACAGTTGACCTCTGATGAGAAATGCAGCAGCAATTAATAAAAATACCATAACTATATACCAAATATAAAAAATACTATAACTAATACCAAAGTACTTTTATCATTGATAAAAAGTTATTAAAAACCTAATAATACATTGACATTACACAATATCAAATTAAACAATGCAACCCATAGCCCCCAATCTAAGTAAAATATCTATTCCATTTAAAAAAAAAAATTTGAAAAAATTCTTAAAAAAAAGATACATTTGCAATAAGTGTGCCAAACTACCATACAGTTAATACATATAGGGCAAATAAATTACTCAATCCTTAGCAATATACCTTTATCATGTGAAAAAGAAAAAACTCTTAAGCGTGATTACGTGGCCTATTGATCCAGTCATGTATCTGCAATTCATAGTTTAGTGAATTTATAAAAAAACTGTTTGTAGAAATAAATAAACAACTAAATAACTTAAAGGAACATTATAGTCACCTAAATTACTTTAGCTAAATAAAGCAGTTTTAGTGTATAGATCATTCCCCTGCAATTTCACTGCTCAATTCACTGTCATTTAGGAGTTAAATCACTTTGTTTCTGTTTATGCAGCCCTAGCCACACCTCCCCTGGCTATGATTGACAGAGCCTGCATGAAAAAAAAAACTGGTTTCACTTTCAAACAGATGTAATTTACCTTAAATAATTGTATCTCAATCTCTAAATTGAACTTTAATCACATACAGGAGGCTCTTGCAGTGTCTAGCAAGCTATTAACATAGCAGGGGATAAGAAAATCTTAATTAAACAGTACTTGCAATAAAGAAAGCCTAAATAGGGCTCTCTTTACAGGAAGTGTTTATGGAGGCTGTGCAAGTCACATGCAGGGAGGTGTGACTAGGGTTCATAAACAAAGGGATTTAACTCCTAAATGGCAGAGGATTGAGCAGTGAGGCTGCAGGGGCATGTTCTATACACCAAAACTGCTTCATTAAGCTAAAGTTGTTCAGGTGACTATAGTGTCCCTTTAAATATGACAGAAACAGAGGTTTCTTATACTATTTGCAAAATGTAATATGTAGCAGTGTTTCTGGTGCTAAGGACTGTGCTAACATTTGTTAAATACAGAGGATATGTAAACATATTATAAAAAAAACAAAACATGAGAAGTTAAATATAATACAATACACAATTTCAGTAATATTTGAGGTGTACAAGGCTACATTAAAGAATTTATTAAATCAAAAAGGCAAACTAGAAGGGACAATTAGTGCCTATTGTATTAAATTACATTTACATTTCTAAATAAGTGTATGAATACAGCCAGTGAGTTATCTATGTTTGTGACAAAATAGGAATCAGAACATTGTGTCATTATGGTAATAACTATTTTATTTTTAATTTTACTTCCTTTTGTTATTTCATTATAATAGCAAAGCATACCTAGGCCATAGCCTTATTTAAATAACATAATTCAGAAGCAATGGAATCAATGGAACTTGTATATAAAAGCTCAGTGTTGTGAATAGTTTCATTGTGGTTACATCAGTCAAACACTCGCTTAATTATATCTTCCATACATACTGATTTCGTAATTTAATATGTTTACAGGAGTGTTTTGCATTTTCTGATTAGACTGATAAGAGGAAATTGAATTGATAACTCTTTTACAGTCCCTGTGTAGGGCAAAAGAGAACGAAACGGAAAGTGAAGAACACTTTAAGGCTCTTTCTGAAAGGGAAATTGGTAGGCTCAAACAAGAAATTCAGAGACTGGAAAATGAACTTGGGTCCTTGAAAGAGAAGAGAAATAATCAAGAAGTAAGCTTTGCACATATATTTCATTTATTTTTGCAGACAATTATATGTTCAAGGTGAATGGAATTCTGTTAGGAGAGGTTTTTGTGTAATAACCTTGTGTCTGATATCTAGATTAGAATGAAAGGCTGAACATTCACTGTCATACGAAAGCACAAAATATATATTAATACTCTGGGAATTAGTGTTTTACAAGAATAATCCAATTACCTGCACATCTAACATATGGTCTGATAAATCTTTAAAGTTCATCTGCATGATTTACTGTGTTATATGGTTAGTCTGGGTAACTTATACAGTTCCATCGTTGTTGGTGTTTGGGTTGTCTTTGTGTAGGGCAACAAAAGCACAACCTGCACATCCTGGGTCATTGTGTATATAGGTTAGTGCGTTGAACTCCTTGAAAAATAACAATTATCATTGTAACATTTGATGTATGTTTTAGAATGATATTTTCAAAGCAACAGAAAAACTGGATAATTTGAAGAGTCAGCTGAACTGGGACCAACAGGCGTTGGAAGCTTGGCTAGAAGAATCTGCTCGCAGAGATGAAGACTTGGTTGCGATCCAGAAATATGCTCAAAAAGATGATGGAAAAATTAAAGTAAGTAATAATTTTTTTTGGTTCATGTAAAATTTTCAGTTTACAAATTGTAAATTGTAACTGTGGTGATTTTTCCCCCCTGATTATTGGTTTGAAAAGAGAAATTGTGTTAAAGATATTTTGTATTCTGTAGGAGCTGTCCCTGAGGATTGAACGGATGACAATGGAGGCTAACCAAAAACGCAAAGTTTTAGACAACGAGCTCACAGAAACCATCACTGCACAGGTGTGATCAAATGTACATACTTACATACTTTAACTTCAAAACACGTGATATATCAGAACCGGAGAACATCACCATTTGCTGCACTGTATAGTTATATTAACGTTTCATGACATGCTCAGAAGCAATACTTAGTCCAACTGCTTAAAAGACAAGAACAATTTCACACAATATTTGTGAAAAAAGAAAGGCAATCAGACATACAAAGTTGTATTTATATAATTCTTTGATAAGCTTATATTAAACGTAACATTTTGCGGTATTGTTTACTTTTGCAGGAAATATCAAAACAAGCATTTTATGATATATGTGTAATAAATTTGTTTTACAGATTGAACTAGATAAAACGGCTGAAGATTTTCGTAAAGCACACTCAGAACGGCAACAGCTCATCCAACAGTGGGAAAACACTATTGAACAAATGCAGAAAAGGGACAAAGAAATTGACCACTGTGCACTGGTTAGTATTTTAGACAGATCTGCTATGACACAATAAACATACTTAAAAGAACACTATAGGGTCAGGAACACAAACATGTGTTCCTGACCCAATTGTATTAAAACCACCATCTAGCCCCCACCCTTGTCACCCTAAATATAGAAAAATCTTACTTTTATTCAAATTTGCAGCTGCTGCCTCTGTCCCTGATCTGCCTGCTTGGCTGATATCATCAGAAGTGATTCTTTGAGTCACTCACAATGCTTTCCCATAGGATTGGCTGAGACTGTCAACGGGGCAGATCAGGGGCAGAGCCAGCACAAGTCAAAAACAGTCCTGACCAATCAGCATTTCCTCATAGAGATGAATTGAATCAATGCATCTCCATGCATAGGGTGGAGACACTGAATGGAAGTGCTGCACAGTGTGCAGCATTACCCCAGGAAGCACTTCTATTAGCCATCGGAGGAGTGGCCAGTGGAGGTATCCTTAGGCTGTAAAGTAAATACTGCATTTTCTCTGAAACGATATATAAACATTTTTTAACTGTTTTGAACACTGTATTTCATCAGGGACACTGAATGCACACTCTAGGCAACAACACAACTTAAATTGCCATCTTTTGATGTTCACGCTGTATTTTTCTCCATATCCATGTCTCACTAGTTTTAATCTTCTACTTTCAGTCTTTAGCCAAGCCACTCCTTTTACAAAACGTCATCCTATAGCAGCTGAGTAATTGAGTACTTCCGTTTGGGAAGGCATTTTCTTAAAATGGAAGGTTTGTCTAAATCAGTGGGTTTGCTCTAGACAACAGATGTTTTTGTTCTAAAGAGATTTAAAGAGGAAGAAAATACAGCGTGAAAATGATGCCAAAATCCTTTAGATTTAAATTGAAAATTTAACCTGGGCCCTCCATCGTCCTATTACAGCGTATCCAAAAGAAATCCACCACAACCTTGTTGTTTTGTGACTTTTAACTGTGCCTGTCTTGCTACTTAGACACACCACTAACATTCATTTCTTCCCATAACACCTTAAATGAAAACTGTAAAACTTTCTTGTTTTTTTATAACATTTAATGAAATTAATTATATATTTTAAACATTGTATATTGCTTTTTTTGAGGAGATTTCACTTTATCTGGCTGAACAGCTATGCTGTGCCCGACTCTATTGTTGTTTGAACAACGTGTGCTCAACCTAACTTGCCTGTTGCTTCAGTTTCAAAAAGTTCAATCACAGCAGCAGGCTAGGTAGGTTGAACAGAAGTTAGTGAGATAGTAGAGTCTGCCCCGGCACAGCTGCTCAGTCAGATAAAACATGTCATTTTCAAATAAAGTATATTAGGTTTCATTAAATGTAATAAACTTTTTAAAAAATGAAACGCAAAAATGTTATGATGCTTGTCTTTTAAAATAATCTACCCAAGGAGGCGTATTAGTCACTCTTGCTACTGTAGGATCACTGGAAACCCATATTGATCCTCTATCATACATCAGTAGCTCCATTCAGACTTTACCTCTAAGTATTATAGATTTGTTCACTGTTGATTGCATGCCAATTTGTTTACAACCAAGAATGTATGATTAACACTTTCACATTAAACTTTGTAACAGCTTCTAGCCCAGGTGAAACAGGAACTGAGAGAGAGAGAAGGCGTTATCAAAGAAAAAATGCAGTTTTTGACAAGTGAGATAGACAATAATAAAGAATATGAAAATAAAATCTCCAATGCAGAAAGGAAGGCTGCCAGGCTTAGACTGGACTATCAGGAACAAGAAGCCGTACGAAATCAACTAAAAAACGAGGTAATCTTAACCATTTATAGTCTTTTTGTAGATAAAAGAAAAAAATGGAAGTCTATATTGTCCATCACTGTTGATGATAAGTGAACAAATATTGTTTCTGTAGATAACTTTGGCACAAGTCAGCAAAATAATTTTTGAGACCTGAGTGGGGACTAACTGTAGCGCAAGCTACTGAGTTTCTCTAGGCTTTTGCCCGTTATCAGAGTTCTCATATTCTCTCTTTTTGTTATTAAAAAAATAAAAAGCAATACGGAGAGCAAGGGTGATGCAAAGGGCAGCATTTGATAGTGAAATGGATCAGAGACAATGCAAGAGAGAGAAACAGCACATTGAAACAAGACAGTGATGATGAGAAAAGTAGAACAAAGAGGGCAGAATAACAGTGCTAAAGGGTAAATGGCAAGAAAGGCTAGGAAACCAATAATGGCAAATTGAAGAAAGGAAGAGTTACAGACACTAAAGTGAAAGATGCAGATATTAAAGAAAACAAAAACAAAATGAGAGTATCCTGAAGAGCCACAAAATATTGTAGGGTAAAGAGAGTAAACTATTAGGAAAAGATAAGGAAAGCTCAACCTAACAAGTTTTTCAACAAGTCTCAACAAAACAGTCTTTATGAAAATTCACTGCTTTGCAATAGTGAAGATATCCAGAATGTGGGGTTTGTTTGTGAACATGTAATAATGATACGATATATATTCATTTTCATCGACAGCTGGACACATTGAAAGTTACTGTTGATAGGACAGCTACAGAGTTAGAGATTATGCGAACACAAGTTGCCAACCTGAAAAAAGAGATCCAGAATAAACAAAACAGGTACAATTCACATTGAACTATTGTTTGGAAATGAGCACTGGATATATATTATATTTATTTTTTATTTAAGTTTTGTGTTCCCTCTCCAATCTATATACTCAGTGAATGAGTACAAATGAAAATATGTTACAATTACATATAATGCACTTATAATAAATGATAAATTACAATTATAAATAAGCCCATTCATTCCAGAAGTATAGGACACTAGAAAAGGTGCAGTACCTAAAACTTAAAGCATATTCATTTTACAGGATCAATATGGCAAATGAATATAATGATGGTCTCACTGAAAAACTGAAGTTTGTGACTGAGTCGGCAATGAGTTTGGAAGAGAGAGCTTTACGCATGGAAGAGATGCTGAAAGAACAAGAAAAAACAGTCAAGGTACATACATCTGTATGAGTTTCATGATGTAATGAAAATATACAATATAAACGTACACCAAAGATTTGTGTTTATGACATCTGGGCATAGCTATAATAGACTTATTATGATTAGTAATTATATAGCACCATCATATTTTGAGGCACTTTACAATTATATAGTGGGGTAATTGACAGACAGAGAAACAAATGACAGACACAACTGGGCCCTACGCAAACTAGCTTACAATCTAGAATACATGGTGCCTCTATCAAAGACACGCTCCAAATTTAATTTGTCATCAAGTATTATCTTCTTGTTTTTTACTGAAATAATCGACTAGAAATAAAATAACCCCAAGTTTCTGATCTCTTATCATCAGTGAACACAGAGCAATGATGATTCGCATACAGAATAATCTGGTCTAACTACTGATAGAATTGCATATAACTGTTACAAAATAGGTCAGTTTTGAAAGCATATCAGGTGAAATGATAGCTATGGCATTTTAATCCATTTTTCATCAACAGTTGCTTTTTAAAATGCAATGACCTGAGTTTTTCTCATAACCATTTTGGAGTGGCCCTGTTGTTTTTCCAGCACCATGGGAGAGATATCTTTAGCAAGTAAAATATACATAGCAAAGTTGGGTACGATTGGTTTAGTATGAGTTATTATGAAAAAAAGGAACTTAATGAGATGCTTTCCTTGTTTCGCTGCTATCTATAGGATAATAATACAATGCAAAAAGAGGACAGGAAAAAAATGCAAGAAATGGGAAAATATAGAAGATGTTAATTTTAAAATGGCATCCATTTAAAATTTAAAGATCAATTCTAGGCCATGTGACTGCTTACTATTGATATGACTTACTTGGAGCTTTTAGTGAAAAAGCTACAGACAGTTCTTGTTGGACATACAAAGCTTGTTGTTTGGCAATATTCTATTCTTATTATAGAGAACTCTGCAATATAGTTGTGAATATACCTGAGAACGTTATCTTACTCTTGTAATTGTGTCCCTAGGATTTTGAAACCCAATTAAAACAGATACGAGAGCTTCATTTCAAGAAATCCCAAGAACTGCATGAACACAAATCAAACGAAAAGAACATCATGGCAGAAATTAATGGAGGTCAAGTTTCATTGAGAAACCTTAATATCCAACTGCAGAAGTTTGACCTGCAGGCTTTGAAACAACAGGGGATCATGTACAATCTGGTAAAAATGCTCTTACATCCCGTTAGCAGGTTATTTACATATTTACCGTAGTGGGTGATATACATTATGAGCAGCAGTTGTTAATAGTTTGTATTATGTTTTATAGTTGTCATCATTTGAGCTCAGAGGCATGAGGAGTGGAGCTTTAGAAAAATGATTTTATGTGATCTCTGAAGTAGGAAAACAAAATTGTTTTAAATGTGAGACATTATGCACATAACCTTTTTTCTTATTTAGTATTTAATTTACCCAGACTGGGTTTTTACATGTAGAACACTGAGCTCCAGATTCAATGATGGTGTCACTTAATAAAGTGAGAATTCAAAGTGAATTTGAAATGTAAGGCCCGAGTAGCCAAACTGAAAGCATAGTTGACAGGTTGGCTACTTTGACCTTAAATTTTCAATTCACTTTGAATTCTCATTTTAGTCAATAATTCTTTCACCATTTAAACACAATTAAAATAATACATTAAAATGAATAATTATACTAATGAGTTCTAATGAGCATACCAAATATTATGTGCAGTAGCAGGTTCCTTTTATCATAATATTGTTTGTGAATTCCCTTCTGTTTTTTAATTGATTTCCTGCTTATGGCAATCATTTTGGAACAAGGAGTAAGAGATTTGTAACTGCCTTCTATGAGTGTGTATTCTCTTGTGCAGGATTTTAAGATCCAGCAACTGGAGCGCAGACTGTCACGTTTAAAAGGAGAGGTCAACACTGATGAAAAGCGTGCTTTGGAAATGAAAATCTCTGAACTTACCAAAGCATTTGAAGAGCGTAAGACTGCTCTTAATCTAATAAATGGGCAGCATAAGAAACTGCAGGTATTGTTATATGTTGTAAAAGAAAATATACTGAACTTAATTTGTATTTTGAAGTTACAATTAACATTTAGCTTTTACCATTCTGTTACTATGTGCTATTTGTTCTTCCCACATAATTTGTTTTCGATTTGTTATATTTTTGTCAAAATGCCAGTACTGCTGAAGACAAAAATGAGTAAAATATGAATAGTGCTAATGGCCAGACATTATTGGTATGAATTTATAGACAACTGATAATATAGTATAGAAAAAAATTGTGTTGAATTATTTTTGAACACAAATAAAATTGTATCATGAAAAGGATGATGTCCGTCATATCAAGCGGGACCTTGACAAGACTGGCCAGGAGAAAGGAGATCTCATCAATAAGATGGAGGAGTTCAAACTGTTTAACACAATGACTGAAAAAGAACTGAAAAAGTTGAAAGCATCAAAACAGGTATATTTTTGAATTATTTTTGTTTGGTTATGGATGGTCAGAAATCCATCCTGCATATGTCATGATTTAAAATTCAGTCAAATCTTTCGTTCACATCAAGACTTGCATTTTCATCATATCAAGACAAAAAACTAATGCATTATTTTGTTACCATGTTATTAAAGGATTTGATGGTTGAAGACAACATCCTGAAGCTGGAAATCAAGCGACTGAGGGATATGCTGTACAGTAAAGCAGATGATGTATTTTCATTGGAAAAACGCAGATTGCAGCTGCAGACTGCAATGAAAGAAAGGAGAGAAGAGATTGCGATTCATAAAGAGATGCTTAAATCACAGGTCCGTTTGGTGGATCAGGAGAGACAAAGCATAAGGTACAATTACAATGCTGGCCTTGCATCTTTTATTCGATATTTTGCAGTTATTTGTTCATATGTGACAATAACATGTCTAATGATAATACTATTTTTATTAGTTATGGCTTACCTTTGGTGCTACAGCCATTTGGCTAGCTGTGACAGAGAAATGTAGACCACACAACCGTAGTGCAATTGGTTATACATTACTGCTCTGTGTAATACTGTTTTATATTGCGTTGGATACAATTTCTTACTATTGACAATGTGTCAGTAAGTAAAAGACCATCCCTGCATCTGGCATGTTGCCACTTACACATGATCCTATTGAAGGCAATATCCCCACTATACTTAAAAGGCTTGTGGCAAGCCTATTAAAATAGGACGACAAGAACATGCCTCAAAAATGAAAAGAATTACCGTTAGAAACTAATCAAGCTTTTAATTTAATGAGGAATTGTCATCATTCACCCTAGGAGAAAATATGGGCATTTACTAAATTGAAAAGTGCAGGAGAGGTAAAAAAAAAAAAAGGATTAAAATGTATTTACCTTTTACAGCATTTATGGTTTCTGTGTGTGTCTTCATTCCACTATGCTGTGAGTGTATATGGTTGTCAGCATCTGTTCAAAGTTACCATGCACAAACAATCAGTGACAGCATTGCATGTAATATCACGGAAAAGAAAAGAAAGAGCAGAAGGGTTCTATCACAAAACATAGTACAACTCATGTTGAAATAAAAAAATGGAAAATACAAGTCAAGCATATAGTTTATTTGTTGCAATTGAATAATATGTTAAGCAACATGTTATGTTGTAAATATATATTCATCTTTTAGTTAGGTTGATGTTTAAAATAAAATGCTAACACACATAGATCCAAAGGAAAAATAAAATGTTAATTTAATATCTGCACCTACCTGTGTTAGCCATCAAAACCTATATGTCACGAGGACCAAGTTCTAACTGTATTTTCCTTTGTGTCTTCTCTAGCTAGCTCTAACTGAACAATTTCATATCGGTAGCAAACTGCCAATCTCTACTATTGCACTGATATAAACACACAACACCAAGTAAAATTAAATTAAATTAAATAGTACAAGTATTATAATTTACTAGGAAATGAACAAGTTCAATATAATGAACTAGGAAATATAAGGAGGACTCCCTTATAACCAGGGGAGATCTGATACAATGGATCACAATACGTTTGGGGGAGGGAACATAACTGTTTTCATTAAATGCTGAATTGTAGTGAATTAAAAGCTAAATCCTAACAGTAAGGCAAAAAATGCATATCTGGAAACATTCTCTATCTTAGATTTAATCATAGCTTGGCTATGTTGTAGTTCCTTTTTAAATTCAATACAACAATGTTTATACTTGGGTATATATGTTTTTGTTTTTATATTTGTAGATTGATGTTGAATATCTTCCCATGTAACTCTAGCAGTAAATTAACATCTTAGTGTTAGTGCACCCCTGTTGAATTGTTTTTAGAAAGACCAGTCATTTAATGCTACACCTCCTTTCACTGTCTAGCTCAGAGCTGCATGACAGACTTGCAAAAGTAGATAAAATGAGGAAGAGATATGAAATCCTAACTATCGCAATGATGCCTCCTGAGGGAGAAGAGGAGAAATCCCAGGCATACTACATAATTAAGGTAAATTAATAGATCAGCCATAAAGTGGTCATAATTAAACGGCACATGTAAATAAATTAGTGTTCTTGTTTTATAATGATTTTTCAAAAGCTATTCATTGGCAGTACTTAATTTCAAACACTTCAATCTTTCTGCATTAGCACTTTTATTCTATTCATGCATTAAATACTCACAGTCTGACATTTTTTTTCAAAGTATGATGAGATTAAGATATATCTTAATTAGTTGAGCAATCATTTTTAGTTTTCTAATTATACATGTTTTTATTTGTTCTTTTAATATTTCAAAGATTCATTTCAGAATGTTTCTTTGCCATTATTTTTTTTTTAAATGTAATTATAATCATAATTCTGATTATTAGACAAATATTCCATTATTTACAAAAAACTCAAATTAACCAGACATCACTATGAGGAAATACCCACTCAGGATCTATTCAAATGTTTGATAACAAAAGAAAGTCAATTGGCTATTTATGTTCTATGTCCGTTACTGTGGGCCCCTCACCCCCAGACCTGTGGACTTAGGAAGAGTGGACCTGCCATTTGTTAGAGAGGGTGCAGGATGTTCTATTTCTTCTCCTCCTGGTTTGCGCTCTGTACAAGCTGCAACTGCAAAGTTCTCTATGTGTGCTGTTCAACTGTGTGGTCTAGGTGTCAGGATGCGGGTCAGTGAGATTGCGACTTACCTCAGGGAGTCCTCTGGCTTTATGGAGGATCGGTTCCATCAGGAAACACTGCCTGCTTTTAATCCCCACCATCTACAGACTAAGTGCGCAGCTTTCAGAGTGTTCTGCAAGGGTTGGTAACTGGCTGCAAGGGTTTTGGGTGTAAGTGCATGTGTATTATCCTTATATTAGGTTTAAGTATAGGTTCCAGGAGAATTGTGCACACAATCTATGGTGCTTACTGGATTCATGGGGCACATTGTCGGTTACTATATGATGAGCAGTTTCGGGTAAAATTGGAATTCTACCATCCCTCTATTGCGACATTATAGATAGAAGTCTTTGGCTTTTGTTAATGATCCAACAAAGAACAGAGCTGTCCCCTTGACCTTTTTGACCATCTCCTGACCAGACGTCACCATTACAAAGGGAGTCTGTTGGTTGTTTAAGAAGTGTCATTGTAGTCATAAGTGCACACAGTGCAGTTTTGTCCATCTAGTAAACAGATGTTTTGAAAACTTGAGAACTGCCCGTGGTACATGAGACCTTCTAAAGGAGAGGACACAGTGGATGTATTAAAAATGGACAGATGACTAACAATGTACCCCAGAGATAGAGGAGTTCCATCATTTATGGAATGGTCTTTCATATGGTATTTTGGTTCCATTTTCTCTCAGGCCCCTTTAGTGCCTCTCCGTACCCTAATTGAAATCTTGCCCCTAGAATTGGTCCCTAAGAAAAAGCAGGGCAAATTTCCCAACTCCTTCCCAACTGATTCATTGTTTAATGGCATTAATAATAGTTTTACCAATAAACAAATTGACCCAGGTGAGGATTGTTTCCCATATTGGTGAGGTCGAGGAACCCTGTGGCAAATACTACATAATTAGTCTTTGTCTGTAGACTCTATAATACTTAAAAAAAATGTGGTATTTGGATATAGATCTTACGCAATCAAAACACTATACTTAATATTTTTTTTCAGGCTGCTCAGGAAAAGGAAGAAATGCAGCGTACAGGTGACGACTTGGATGCTAAAATTCGAAAAGCTGAAAAAGAAATCAACGCATTAGAGAATACTCTTCAGATTATTAATGGCTGTAACAACTCCTATCGAAAATCTTTTAATAAAGTCACTGAAACAAGTAAGTCTAAATTCCATACATAAACAAGTGGAATTGAAGCTGCATTTATGGTGGAGCTTAAATTCAATTTTAAAATGCAACAAAAAGTACTCAAAAAGAAAACAGTGGACAGGGGCGGTACAAAGGGGAGGGGTGTGCCGCCATTTTCTGTCTGTTACCAGCATTCTGGTGTCAGATGCCAATTTTGCACAGAATTGACATTAGCCAGCCTGAAAGTTTGACACTGCTGGAGCTGTATGTGCAGTGTTTCATAGTTAAATGATACACGGAACAACTCCAGGCACAATGACCAATTCAAATCATTCAAGTAGTCATGGTGCTTAAAGTAAACGTGAATTTACAATTTAGGCCAAAGTGGCAGAATTGGGAACAAAACAACTGTTTTCAGGTCACGTATATTGGACAAATTCTGTGTGTAACTTTGCTTGTTCCTTGTTTAATGTCAGGTGAAGAGTATGAAGAAAAGGTTCAGCTGGACGAGCAAAAAAAAGCTGCTGAAGAGAAGTACAGGTACAAACGAAAGCAGATTCGAGAGCTACAAGCAGACATACAGGTGAGTTGTGTGTAAATAGTAATGCACTGGATTGAGAACACCGTTTACAGTTTTCAAATAAATCCATTCTTTAAAAGTTATACATAGCATTCATTCTTCTAGAGGAAGTGGTTAATGTATTTACCTTTTCATAAGGGTAGCAAGTAACATGTTAGTATATATACCTTCAAATAGCTACATGAAATATACCCATGAATATCCATGAATTAAAAAAGTAGCTTATCTGGCAACAAATCCCTGGAATCCAATTCTCCTGTGTTGCCAGTACATAGATGCAAATTTTATAGTGGAGCTGTCCCAGGATTATTAATAGTATGCTTACTTATCCACTATATTTAACAATATTTATATTGTGAGCTGTGAAAAATAAAATGTCTTATTCAGGCAACAATTCACCCCCATCTTTGTTCCCATTCTGTCATTGTTATAAGCTCTGTCCTGTGCATCTGGCAGTCAGCACAAAGAAATAATGCAGTGAAAAGGAGAATTAAAACAACGTGTCTCTATTTCTTCCTCATTTGCAATGTGTGCCTTGGCTATGTCTGGACTGAACTGGATTGTGAAGTCATTAGCTAAATATTTAATAGACATTTAAAAGAAAATAGAGCATCCCATGAAAAATATAATTATTGGTGACTTTATTAATGGGTGGTGTGATTTCCACAGCAGTGATCATTCCCCTTTAATCAAATCCGTTGTCTCTGAATTAATTTAATTACTTTCAATGTGCATTAGTGAGAACACATCTTTCTTAAAGATTAATAGGAGTTACTGAACTTAGGAGTTAAAGATTGATGGGAGTTACTGGAGAGCCAGTAGACACACTTAAATGAAACCAGTGGCATTCTAATATGATCTATTGCATGCCTATAAGGGATACCTTACACAAAGGCAGTAGTAGTGAGAGTACCTATACATGTTTAGTTTTACTGGTGTGCTTAAAATAATTGGAATACTTATTCAAGGATGTTCTACATTAAGTAAAATACTCCTCAGGGTGTTTCTGACGCAACCAGCTTTTATTCTCTTCCGACAATAGGCTCCAATCACCAATGATAGAGGTTACTTTTTGGAGCTATTATACTAAATGTGTGTGTGAGTTTGGTACCATAACAGCTGGAGTTTCAGAGATAGTTCCCTACCATTTACAGAGCCATACACACAAACAAATCAGTAGCTGGAATTCCCAACTGGGCTGCATTTTCCTACAGATTCTGCCAGTCTGTTCCTGCTGCCATCAGTTTAACCCCTTAAGGACACATGACATGTGTGACATGTCATGATTCCCTTTTATTCCAAAAGTTTGGTCCTTAAGGGGTTAAATGATGTAATAGATTCCCTGTGTGGTGCATAATAACTCCCTGTGTTAACTATTTCTTATGGAATAGTTAGTTTTAATCTTGTGTTAGCAGAGGGACAAGCTTGCTAAAACCCTCAGAATCACTTAAAGGAACACTCTAGCATTAATAATACAAACGTATTCCTAGTGCTATAAAGGCTTCTCACCCAACTCCGTTTGCAAAAAAACCTATATCACTCTTATTGTAGCCCTCACCTCTAGCTGGTCTCTGTACTGCAAGTCTCACCTCCTTGCCTGATGATCTTAGCCAATCCAGTGTTTCTCCAAGCTTTAGGAGGCTAGTGTTGTGCCAATCAAATGCTCTGTAGGAGTAGCATTTGCTTGTTTGAAAGCCAGATTTATTTTTCTTTTATTTTGATACTGTGATCATGATGATACACATTTGTATGCTGGGTTGTTTTACAATACATATTTCGCTGAAATACATAGTACTTTTTGTAAATATCACAGATCTTCCAAAATTGCTTGGTTTCCTAAGCAACAGCTTACTTTTTTTTAACTTAAGTGAACAGTATTTTTTCCAAGCTTGGTAGCTGACATAATGAAAAGGGGGACTTATTAAGCTATAAATATAATTTTAAATTAAACAAAACCTTGCTTAAGCCATCAAATACGGAATCCAGCTGAATTTACAGATATAGTATCTACTCAGCATTAGAAGAGAAAAACGAGTGTGTTACTTTTTCAAATATGATAAAGCAGTTTTAAGTCCAGAAAACCAAAACCTGTATAAAGTTAAAGGAGAGTACTTTATTGCAGGTTATGAAGAACACTTTTGATAGCATGATGAAAGAAGAAGCGTCCTATGAGGACAAGGTGAATGAAATGCTTCCGAGCATCACACAGCTTAACAAAGAAACAGAGGACCAAAAGCAGAAGCTAGAACGGGTGATGAAACAGGTTAGTGCTTCCATTTTTGTGTAGTAACACTTTGTATGCTTATGTGAAAGCCAGTTATATAGCTCAACCTTGAGCCCTATATGTTTATAAAGCACATTTTCCGTAGTTCATATCAATCCTACTGTTTTTAGTAAATAACCCTGACATAACATAAGAAAAATATATAAAATGCCCAGATAACTACATATCCTAACATACTGTCTTACAGTATAAGCTAGCATTCTGAACACTTGTTTGAAATATTTTTCTTTTTTTCTATGTAAATGATGACCAGTTTTTATTGATGGTCATTATTTTGTTTGTTTTGTTTTTTTTGGATGGGAAGGGGAAGATCAGGAAGTTGTTACTTCAAGAACTGAATATACCAATACCTACAGATTATGATATTCTTTTGCTCTTTACATTTTTTGTTACATTCAAAACGTATCCTGCCGTTCTTCAAACATAAAAATGCAATTTAAAGGGATTCTATAGTGTAGGGAATACAAATCTGTATTCCTTACACTATAGAGCCCTCTGGTCTCCCTCTTACGATGTCAATTTTAATTTCAGTTTGATCTCAGTTTAAATTTTTTATTCTTTGCGGTTTCAAGGAGAATGTGAACCATATACTTAATCTTCCTCTATATAGTTAACAAAAAAGAGTTTACCTATGAATACATTTTTGGCAGGCTACTGCAGTCACCTCAATCTATCCATTGATTTATTTGCATGTACTATCCTACAGTTGTAGGTTTCCCTTCTCAGTTACTCTTGAGTTCTCATCCATTAAAACAGCAGGGACTGTATTTTGGCACCACTATGTGTGTGTGTGTGTGTGTGTGCAAAACTATGTCTTATCACAGAGAGCACATGCAACAGCAACACACACTTAGTTTTGGAATTTGTTTATTCATTAAAGCACGCAAAGTAATAGAAGCACATAATATCCCGCTCTTAGAGTTTCAGTTATGTTTCTAATGAACACAATTTGTACAGCTTTCAGTTTAAAGGGACACTATATACACCCAGCACACTTCATCTCATTAAAGTGGTCTGGGTGCAATGTCCCAATCCCACTTAATACTCCAATTTAAATCATTGCAGTTTTTGAGAAACTGCAATGATTACCTTGCAGGACTAAGTGTCTCCAGTGGCTGTCAATCACACTTGAGGCACTTCCTGGGTGCTATCGGACTCTGAGTCCCCTAAATGACGCTGGACGCCTTCACGCTCTGTATTAGGACATCCAGCATCAGTTAAATTCCTACAGGAAACTATTAAAGCAGTGCTTTCCTGTGGGTAGGGCATAATGTGCCAACCCAACGCAGATAGATATCAGGTGACTAAAGGTTTTTTGTTTTCTTAACCCTTTAGCTGCCTGGGTGATAGTGATATGATTTATGTCATGGAATATCTTGTAAGATTCATCTGTTAGGTTACTCTACAAAGCTCAATAGATCAGGATGCCAGTTTAAGGAGGGCATATGTTTTTAGTAGACACCAGATATCCAACTCGGTAGGTAGGGGACCACATTTTTCTGGAGCAGAGCTAACCTATATGAGTGAGATTAATCAGAGATGCTGAACTTTATTAAATCTGTTTGGTATTTTATGTGGTTTATTTGAACCCTGTCATTTAGAATGTACGCTTTTTTTTTTTCCTTTTCCCAGATCCAGTAGTACTAAGACTAATTAATAGTCATCTGAGATTTCCCCTCATTACCTATACCAATAATCACTTTAATTTTGAAGCTCTCCCTTAACAAATATTCCATGACACGATAATTCTCTCAGAAACTACTGGCCAATATAAAGTGCCCTACTTAGATCTACTATTAAGAACCAGAATGTTAGAACAACGCAGATGTGGTCATCAATGGGTTAAAATGCTTGTGTAAGCACATTCCAAAATAGTTTTTCTAAATTATGCTTTATTAATAGTGTTCCAAACTGATAAAAGAAATACGTACAGCAAAAAAGAGTCAAGGAGAAACACAAGATGAGCAAGATATTAAAGTTCGTGACTTGCGAGACTTCAACAAATCAATCAACAAAATGCTTGCAGAGTCAATGGAGCAAAATCCTGATCTGAGTCAAGCTCTTCAGTTGTATTTCCAACAGGTTTGTAGTTTTTATATTAAAATACAATTTATTTACTCTACAACTACCGAATCTTCATATAAGTATGGTCCTGGATGGTGAGAAATGAAACAGGACTGAATATTCAAAAGGGACACTACAGCATTTGTAGTGGTTATGGTACCATACATTCCCTGGGGAGCCATCCACTGGTAATCTATCAAATGATTTCCAAACAGTTTGACACTTACCTTACATTTCAGTCTGGGCTGGTCATTATTATACCAGCTTGTACTAGGTTTAGACTGTGTTCATTAGCTGAGAGTGTGAGCTACAACACTTTGTAGTGGTTATGGTTTCTATAGTTTATCTTTAACCCTTAAGGACTAAACTTCTGGAATAAAAGGGAATCATGACACGTCATGTGTCCTTAAGGGGTTAAATAAAACTTAAATGTAGACTCCTAAACTACAGTTCAAATGATGCATTGCCACCTTTAGACTGGGTCTACCACTAGCCCACCCAAACATCAACCTGCCTACATAAATCAGTAGTAATGTATCTACAGAGGGGTAGTTGTTAATATGGAAAACAAAATGCAGGGTTTTTTTTAAAAAAAATTTTATTCTTTATTTTTGGTAAGTCGATGTGGTACATTATACATTCGGTAATAACATTACGCACTATATGCAGCAATAACATGGGTATGTACATGTTCTGTTTTACATTAATATGTTGCTTCTGTGAGAGGGTTTTTGCGTACTGACGACTTCAGGTTTTTCTTCGTTCTGCATTCTCTTACCCCCTCCCGGTTCCTAGTCTCCCCAGTCTTCCATACCCTTTCATGTGCCTTTAGTGTACCTCTGATTGGGGCTGCTAGTCGGTCCATTACGTGGGCGTCTTATCTTATTTAGGACCATGTTTATCTAGGGAGTGAAAATGCACATATGTTGTTGCTGTTGATCCAAAAGAAGGCAAAAAACCTGGTCTGAAGCGCTTCCAATTTTGCCACAAACTAGGAAAAAATTCCTTCTTGACCCCAAAATAGCAGTCAGATGTGTCCTTGGCTCAAGCAGCTATTACCCCACTAATTAGAAATTATATCCCTGTATGTTATGTTTTTGTAAGTATTTATCCAATTTCAGTTTAAACATCTGTATGGACTCTGACAAAACCACCTCTTCAGGCAGAGAATTCCATATCCTTATTGTTCTTACTGTAAAAAACCCTTTTCTTTGCCTTAGATCAGTGTTTCCCAACCCAGTCCTCAAGGCACACCTACCAGTCCAGGATTTAGGGATTACCCAGTTGTGTCTAAGGTGTTTTTACAAAGAAGAAAAAAAACACCTTAGACACAACTGGGTAATCCCTAAATCCTGGACTGGTAGGTGTGCCTTGAGGACTGGGTTGGGAAACACTGCCTTAGATGAAATCTCCTTTCTTCCAGCCTAAATGTGTGACCTTGTGTCCTATATGTATAGCCCTGTTTATGAATAGATTTCCAGATAAGGTTTGTTCTGGCCCCGAATATATTTGTATAAAGTTATCATACACTCTTTTCTTTTTAGTTTGGTTTGGAAATCCCTACTAGCAATTCAACTCCAGGAAGTTCAAGAGGAAGTTCATCAAGAAGCTCACTCTTATCAGTCCGGTAAGTTTAAAAAAAAAAAAAAAATGCTTTCTCTTCTCATGGTTTGAGTATGAACTACCTCTTGGCAAAACAGAAGACCCGTTCCATGCTGTCCACATCAGACTTAGCATTGTGATGTGAGCAGGGTTTAATTCCTGCTCACACAAGGTAGCACCTTTAAGATTCTATATACTAAGCCTTGATTTAAATTTACTTGGATCGTCATTTTAAATGATCCTAACCTGTTAAGAAAAAAACAAAAAAAAAAACTTTCTAATGACTTATCTACAAGAACTCACAGACTTTTATGGTGATTTCTGTAGATAAATGATTTGAGAGGTTTTTCTAACAGATTGTGATCATTTGAAATGCTGACCCAAACGGATTAAAGGGTTTACTCCAACACTTTATTTTCAAGTAGATTGCTCTATCAGGTAAGTGTCCTATTGACAATAAATATATATATATATATATATATATATATATATATATACATAGACACCTGAAGGGTGGACAATGGCACAGTTTTTCTAGCCTTTATTCAGAACGAATGGTTTCGATTACCCTTACTAGTTTTGTAGCTTCCCTCTGCACTTTTTCTAATTCTGCAATAGCCTTCTTCAAAACTGATGCCCGAAATTGTACCAAAAATTCAAAGTGGGGTCCTACCACTGATTTGTTAAGAGGCAAAATTATATTTATATCATGTGAATGAAAAACTCTTTTTAGACACTAAAGCACTGTATTGGCTTTTGCAAGTTCCCTCCATAGTGTTCAAAAAAAATGTTTAATTTGTTTTTACGCCCTTTCTAAATGCAGTTTGTCTTGTTGGCATACTCCCTTCCTCTTTCAGCACTCTACTCTTAACCAAGGAGGCTAAGCATTATCAGTTGGCACTTAGCCAATGAGCTAGCACGGCTTCTAGCTCTGAGCACCGGAAATAGATGCAGTGAACATCACCAGATCGACCTTGTGTAAAATGGGCACTCCTTGCACCATAAAAGCTACAGTATGCTGTAGTGCTTATGGTGTATTGAGTATTCCTTCAATATAAAACACTAAATGAAGATGTCAATTATATGAAAAACTGAACTGTATTTCTGATTTTGTTTTGTAGATCAAACTCTTCTAGATCTTCATCTAGTTCAGGTACTTCTCCACGTATTAAAGTGCTTGATATTGGCCTACCTCCTGCTTCTCCCTCATCAAGTATCTCATCAACTCGCAGCTTGAAGACTTCTACCAGAGAAGGATCTCAAAAGGGTCACAAATAGTAATGATGTCAAATGAAAAATTACACTTGAAGGCAAATAGTATAAGCAACCCTTTTTATTGTTGTCTCAATACCAGACTCTTCCCTTATTTACAACAAAAAAAATAATGTGTAATTCAAAAATTATTTTTACTTCAGGAGGTATACTTAATCACAAAACACAACCCAGCTTGTAAAGGCATTTATTATTCTCTTAAAATAAAAGTGATAAAATTGTACTCCTGCATTAAAACAGTGTTCTTCAGAACCGCTTGCAACAAAAGCAAGTATTACATGATAACTTGCTTTCGCACAGGTAAGTAAATCACAACTGCACGGCAGTCCCTGAGAGTATCTCGAGTAAAAGGTTTCAATTACCTTTTTCTTCTTCATATAAACAACTCAAATTGAACACTTGAAAATAAAATTAGCACACTACTTAGCAAGGTGAAACTTTATTAAGAATACAAGGCCTTTTATCACAAATTGGACTTCACAATTCATGGACATGGCTTACAATGTTAATTTAAATCAATATTAATATAAACACGGCAACAATGGAATTGAGAATGCAGTGAGTTTTTCCAGCCGTTTGGTCCTCCAAACACAGAACTTTGTACAAAAGGCTTTAGGAGCAGCTAGTGATGTAATAGCAGAAAGGTTTACTTTTTAAATGTGCACCTATCGATAAATATCACCACCTCAGGCCCAGTGAGAATACCCGGTTAATTAGCCCTTCGTTCAGGAAGATTGACTCACCTTGCTCATAAAAAGATATCCTTCAAAAACCGACCTGTGTGCTAAACCTTGAAAACAGGTTCAGGGACAACTGCATTAGATAAGGCATTTTTCTTTCATCCTTTATAAAAATAGGTAATGTTTACCACCCACTTAAAAAAAAAGTGTAAAAACAAAAACAAACTGCTAGTTTTTCAAATAGAGGTTTGCATACCAAAATTGATCCTGAATCAGGTGATTAAAATTGGTATTTAATGATTGGCAAGTTTTTTTATTATAATGCACACATTTCATTGGTGTTAGAGCGACAGATAGTACAACATGGTTTTATGCATTTCCTGCTAATTTTGCTTGCTGCCCTTTTCCTTCTCAAACTCTGCAATCTGGCTAAGAATATTTAATAAATTTCCAGGCAAAACCTTGGCAGCAGATGTATTTCCATTTTGCGCTTTATCGTTTTCCAGTCTCCTTGCATTTTCTTTACATGGTGTATCTGATTGGAGTGATCTAGAACTCTTTGAAGTAGACTGCTTTTCAGCAGAATCAGATTCTGACCTTCTATTGTAATATTTATGACCTTGATATTGTTTGGGGTAGTCAGGTCTGTCCTCTGTTTTCTTGTAGCAGTAGTCCGTAGAATCTCTTCGACTAGATTTGTATTTACTACTTTTAGCCTCGCTATTTGTCCTGCTGCTACTAGCTTGAGTTTTTGCACTGCTGTATGAATCCCGGGAATCTTCAGACCTGCCTCCATAAGATTCCAAGATCTCCACAGATGAAGAGGACAAAGATCTGTATCTTGCTTTGTCATTTGAAAACCTTCTACAAGAGGCAGCCTTTTCACTTTCTTCTAGACCTTTTTTCATATCACACTTGCGGTTTAGAAAGGAAGCTGATGTGTCTGCCGGAGGACTGTAAGATTCTTCATCCTTATGTAAAGGAGCATTAGAAGAATATTTTTTAGATTGACTTGAGGATTCTGAATTTCTTTTACGCCTCTTCTTTTTTTTATGCTTTTTATGACTGTAAGAGGATGAATCTGAAGAGCAAGAGGTGTCTGAGGAAGAACTACTTGATGAAGATCGCTGTCTGTGTTTCCTCTTCCTAGAACATCAACCATTAGAATTTCAGAAAAGCCACCTTGTATCTAGTAACTACATTTAACATTGCTTAGACTCTCCAATTTCAGCTGACACATGTTTTCCTACCCATTAAGATTAGTAAAGTGCTATATACCACAATATAAACCATACCTTCTTGACACTCCTTTACACAGATAATTAAGATGAATTGATAATAATGGGAAAAAAAATAGCCATCTCTGTGTTCCTATAACAATGAGAGCTAAATGACACAGGAGGGAAAAAAAAAATTCCAAATATTGGTAGTAATCCATCATAGCATTTGCATTCCTTTCTAGTCACCATTTCTATTCCACGTGGCTATTTTAAATCATACCTGTGTCATTGTTTCTGAAACCATATGATGTGCATACCTTTTCTCTTCTTTTAGAAGTTTACGCAATTTTTCTGCGCTTGTTTCGATTTTCTTTTCTTTGGGTTTCTCTTCTTTTTCATCATGTGTCTCTCTTTTTTCCAAAGATTTCTTTTTTTAAACCCAGTTATCAAAAAAGAAATGTTAATAAAAATATTCCAGAGGAAATATCAGTATACACCCCACCCCAGAAATGGCAAATATTAAAACCAATAAATTAAGTGTGCAGTTGGCAAAGATCACGTAAAAAAAATAAATGTATAGTGCAAGCAACCATTTCCCAGTTACAAAAGGTGTATGTTATTTAGATGGTAATAAAATATCATGGCACAATGGTGTATTGTAAAAATATTTCAGTAATGTGCCAGTGGAATGAAAGTCAAAAAATATGTAGGAGCACAATATCCAGAAGAACAATTTTGTACAAAAGTTTAGTTTGAAATTGATCAACAGTAATTGGATTAAATAATTTATTTCATACAAACCAGTTATTGAAAGACGCAGGTCCATTAAAAAGGTGGTGGGTTACGAATCACAGTCCAGTTTCAATATGTAAAGAGCAATAATGGATATTCACAGCCACAGCATCAACCGTTCAAAGCAGGAGGAGATACACATAGGAAAAATACATCATCAGTATTACAGGAATAAAATAAACACCTTTTATCATCAATAAACAGTACTTAGGGTGGGAAAGGGGGTAATATATCTGGGCTACTATTTAAAAGAATAAGAGCTCAAGCCCAGTATTTATTTTGGGAAACTGTATATTGTTTTCTTCCCCAATAGTTCAGTTGTATCTGTACTAGCTAGGAGGAGATTGAGAGAATATAAAGGATCACCTGCATGCATTGGCGCACTTTATTTAATGCCTCTTCGGCTTCTGTGAAGGTCTTGTCTATACTCAATGCTTTCGTGTAATAACTTTCAGCATTCGGTAGTTTATCTTCTTCTTCCAACCTAAAAATTAGAAAATTTACACATAAGATGTTTTTACAACAAACCAGTAACTTCTGACACTTGCAGGGTTATTTAATAAAATATAAGTCATTCAGCAATCAAAGTACATTTCACATTTTAGGCCAAAATAGCCCAAATCAAACTTTTGGTGATTTTTAAAAATTCAGCTACTCTGTCCTACAAATCGAAAGGGATAGTTAATTCATCTTAATTTACATTCATTAAATACACTATTGGAGTTCAGGCAGGAGTGAAAGATAGATATCAATGTTGAGTATGCCGAGACCTCATATGAGGCTTGTACAAGTTGTGACCAGTCCATCAAACATTGCATTAGAGTTTCAATAAAATGTCAACACAATTGCTAGATAAGAATGAGGCAATATAAAGACTGTCTTAATTGTGTCAATTGGCAGAGCTTCTGCCACCATATCAGGCTTTACTATGGCAGATCTTGGTCTGATGGGAACTTCCAGAATCCCAGTGCCATATTCTATTGTAAAGAATCAATCAAAGAACAGATTTCAAACAGAGACCCATTCTATTATTTTCCAGATATGCTGGTATAGCAATATTTTAAACAATATACTCACTGGCCACCTCTCTCCACAAGAGTTTGGCAGAGATATTTTCTTGCATTTCGATGAGTAGGACAGTTTTCAAGAGCAATTTCAAAATCATGTATTGCTTTGTTAAGGCTTCCCTTTGTAGCGTAACTGCAAGAAATTGTAAAACAAGTAAGAAAATCTATAATATGCAACGGCGACATTAAAAAAAGCTTAAGAGAGCACACAAAATGTAATGAACACATTAACAGAGCACTAACAGGATTTTTGTATAACCCCAGGTTTCCCAAAGAAGAACCTCAAAATTTCTATTGTATGCCTACTCCTACAGCATTGTATGAAATATGCTCATAAATTAGCAGCCTATAGATGACCGGCAAATTTTGTTTGCCTGAATCCTTTTAAAAATATACCTCAAGAAAAAAAAAAAAAGGCATGGCAGCAGTTAATAAATAATAAGGTTCCATGACAGACTGTGCTAGCAATATTCATAGAATATATATGATTATTGTTGACATTTTTATGTCTAATTTTTGGTGCAATTCATTTGTTGGCTTTTTCTTTTTTCATCTGATGCTGTTTTTGCATCATAACTATCATTTATTCATAGAAAATAAATATATGGCACCCCATAATAGGCAGTTTTCATAATTTAGATATGTTGTAGTTCTGATAACAACTCAGTTTATTTATATAGACTATAAAGGCAAAAGATACAATCAAGTATAAAAAAAAACAAAAAAAACAATTTTTAAGATTGAATGTATACCAAAAAGGTGACTAACATATGCACACATTGCCCAAGAATGGCACAGAATTATTGCAGTTGTAGACAAAGATCCTCTTTGGAAGATTGTCTCGATTTAAGGAAAAGGTTCAAACTAACAAACTCAAAATTATTAAACATCAAAATTACATTCAAAAACACAACTTATATTAGTAAAGATGACAAAACCAAAAAATGAGAATGAATACAACAGATGTCCTAGGGAAATATTCACTAATCAAACAGATTAAGAAAGGAATTGGTATGATTAAAGGTTTTGGTAGTAACTCACAGTGCACCTCGTGCTACCAATGCTTCAACATTTTGTGCATCAATTTCCAGAGCTTTATTGTACTCGTTCATTGCATCTACGTGACGCCCCACTTTGAAGTAATCAACTCCTATCTTCACACTAGACAATAGCACCAAAATAAATGTATTAGTGACAGAAAACAAATGTCAACTTGAAGAAGAAAAAAAAAGTTAATATGCAATAATTACTTACCACTTTAATGCCCAAGAAGAAGACTGTTTCTTCCTCAAACAGGGAGCATAATCTTGTTCGGAAAAATTTTCCCTACAAAAATAAATTTAAAAAAAAGGAATTGTTATAGAGCAGAATTAATATTAGCAAACAGGTCTAGTAGGTATGAGTACATCTAACAAACTAGCGTACCCAGGTTGTTGAAGGTGAACAGGAAATCAGAAAATAACAAAAACACAACTACCTTTGAAGGCCTCTTATTAAGGATGGTGGATTGGATTCACTAAGTCCTAGTTTGCCAAGGAGAAACTCTACAGTAGATGGGTTTGAAAATGCTAAGGAATTTTGCAAAACCTTTTCGTAAGTGTTCACACTGCTGGAGGACATTGCAGCACTTTGCCTAGAAGAAAAAAAAAAAAAAACACAAACAGTTGAAGACTGGTAATAAGCCCATTTTTTTTTTTTTTTATAAAATCAGGATAACATTTAAAGTTCTTATTTTAAACTACAGGACCATCTCTCACTTATTGTTCCAGTTCTGGTTATGATCACATATGCCATCTTTCCTGCTTACTAAAACCGTTTTGCCCCCTTAAATCAAAAACTAAATACCACGTAAATTTTAACTGCTTGCAGAAAACACATCACATTTTAAAAACCACCAGTACTCTGTGATATGTACAATTAATGACTAAGCATGGAATTTCCACAGAAAACATGCGAGGGTCTAGAATTTATTTTGCTGTACCCTGGTCATACTAGCCCCTTCTGGATGGAGTCAATAGTACATGTTCTGATCAAAACAAAATGTAAACAAAAACTGGAATTTGCGGTCTGTTCAACCGTAATTCACCTCTTTCATATTATATGCACTCACACTTATTATATATCATTTTGTTCAGGAGAAACAGGGCTTTCATTGCATATCAAATATTTATATATGAAACAATTTATTATGAATAAAATAAAAAAAACAGCAATTTTAATTAAAAAAAAAAAGATCCGTCTCACATTTTAACTGTAAATGTCATAATACGGTTAGCTTTTACTGCAAAAAAGCTCATATTTGGATTCAACAAAGTCTCACGAGTAGAGCAGTAGTGCCCATTAACAGTTTTTACGGTGTTTTGGAAAGTTAAAGGGTCAAATACAGCACATTCCATTTTTTTCACATTGAAATTTGCCAGATTAGTAATGTTACCTTTGAGACGGTGTGGTAGCCCAGGAATGAGATTTACCCCCATGATGGCATACCATTTGCAAAAGTAGACTACCCAAGGTATTGCAAGTGGGTTATGTCCAGTCTTTTGTAGTAGCCACTTAGCCACAAACACTGGCCAAAGTTATCGTTCATATTTATTTATGTGTGAAAAAAACAAAAACAAAAACTAATATTTGGCCAGTGTTTGTAACTAAGTGGCTACTAAAAATGACTGGACATACCCAGTTTGCAATACCTTGGGTTGTCTACTTTTGCAAATGGTATGCCATCATGGGGGTAATGCTTATTCCTGGGCTACCACACGGTCTCAAAAGCTAACATAACTAATCTGGCAAATTTCAATGTGAAAAAAAATGCAATGCAAGCCTTATATTGGACTTTAACTTTCCAAAACACCATAAAACCTGTACATGGGGGGTACTGTTTTACTCGGGAGACTTCGCTGAACACAAATATTAGTGTTTCAAAATGGTAACTTGTATTACAACAATATAGTCAGTAAAAGTTACCATTTTGAAACACTAATATTTGTGTTCAGCGAAGTATCCCGAGTAAAAAAGTACCCCCCATGTACAGGTTTTATGGTGTCTTGGAAAGTTACAGGGTTAAATATAGTGCTTGCAATTCAAATTCCCTGCACTTTTTGCCTGGGTTGTCAGGCATGTTAATGTCTAATTAAATCACATAATTATGTTAAAATATTACTTAAATATACGTGTAGAATTTTAATTTTTTATATATATATAGTCATTCTAAGTGTATTTGTTACACACATACATATATATACACACACACTTAGATAATTTAGAATTTTTTATTTATTATTGTAATTATACGTGTATATATAAATATATGAAAGTCTGTGATACAGACTGAAACGTTGATTTTTATTTTGAGCTAATAAAAGCTAAGTTTTATTCATTCAACTTGGAAGTCCCTAGAGTGCTATCTTGTACTTTTGGCTGTATCGGTTTGCTGACAAGCACCAGGCAAGTACATCAAGGAAGGTGGAGTGATAGATATATATATATATATATATATATATATATATATATATATATATATATATATATATATATATATATATATATATATATAGCAAAGATCCAAATAGATTATGGTGGGGAAAAATTGTGATTGAAAACCCCTTCCACCTGAAGTATGTGGATAGTTAATACAATGCTAAACAAAAATCTGCACACCAGTCAAGCCATAAGACTTGCTTTTCCCACAGAAATCCCAAATCAGCAGTGATGTTACAACCGCAAAGGATTCTGGGTGGGCATATGCAAATTAGTTTAACAAAGAATCACATTTTTGCCTCATTCCATTTTAAACATGGATTCCTTTTAATTTGTGTTTGCAGTATACAACTGCACACATATACACACACACACATATATATACACACATATATACACACAGACACACATATATATATACACACACACACACACATTAACATACACTATGTATGATGTTACACACACTTAATTTATTTTAAAACATGTTTGATATTTTTATTTATTTTTTTTATTTTTTTTTACACTACCCACCAGCAGGGGGACTGTCTTATATTCCAGACAGTCTCCCTGCAGGCCGATCCCCAACCAGAGCGATCACATGGCTCCCGGGGGCCTCATTTGCTGTGGGAGGGCCCTCCTGAAGAGGATCAGGGCGGAGGGGAGTAGTTGCAGGCTCCTGGGTGTGAAAGCAGTTACGGCGTTCTATGCCTCCGCAAAGACTTTAAAGCCCATTATAATGGGGACGGCATAGAACGCCGTTAAAGAAGTTTGTTTACATTTTCTAATAAAGAATGGAACTATTCTACTGAACGTTCCGTTTTAAAACATTACTCTATACAAGTCATTGTTGGATCAAAATGTATTGAGACTGCAAACTATGTAGACCAGGCTTTGGAGCTACTGATTATAGCCCAGCAGGAGAACCTTTCCTGAAGGTTGTTTGGAATTTTAAAAAACGGTTGGAAGGCAGAGTGAGTTCATTTTGTTTATGTATATTTAAGTAATTCCCCCCCCCCCAAAAAAAAAAAAAAAAAAATGTAAAACTATACAGGTTTAATGTCCATTTCAAAGCCATTATTTTCTTACTTGTAATATTCAGGCATTTCTTCGGGGTTTATTACGCCCAGTTTAACTGAAGACATGTGTGTAGGTAGAGCAGATTTCTGCAGAGATAATGTCAGCTTTTCATGATATCTGTCAATATCCTTTACGGCAGCTAACATATAAAGACATTTAAAGTTTTCATTTAGTTCATTGCAAAGAACAGTATTACATATTGAAGTCACTGTAAAACAACAACAAAAAATGATTTAAAAAAAAAGTACATTCTGGGCACCAAAACAACTTAATCAAGATGAAGTTGTTAAGTGTCATGTGGTCGCAGGAGTCATCTGTTTTATGAGCAGTTTAACCCAAGACCTAAAATTCAATCAAGAAGCCTTAGACACTCTCAGCCTCTCACTAGCTCCCACTTATAAAACTGGCTATGGTCCTTCTGGCACCATAACAACTTTCTTGTGATTACGTTGTTATGGTGCTCAGGGTGGTCCTTTTATAGTGGAAAACTATTTACAACATAAACCTTACATTGGAATTAAGTAGCAACACATTTTACAAAACCTCACCTTGGATTAAATCTCCAGTCTGATAATATGATAAAGGATCACCATGGCTGCTTTGAGAAGGCACATCTCTTATAGGACATAATGCCTAGGAGAAAAATAAATACAATATCACAATTTTTGTACAGACATAAATGCCTCTCCAAATTTGTACAGTATGGCTAATTATTTTTCCCCAAATTCATTTTGCGCAAAAGCACAAATCTAACCTTTTAAACAGTAAGGAAATTTTAGAAATTAAGAACTATATACTTACACTTATTTCCAGTGCTGCTATATCTCTTAAAATGCCACTACCCATTGCCATTAGCACCATAAAAAAACCAAAGTCACGAATGGAGGTTATCTTTCCTATTACAACATCACCACGCTCTACATCCCGAAAGAACAGTTCCCTCTTCTCTACATTGGGAACTTCCATGAACTGCTCCAAGGGAGGCATCACAGCATAATACCCTGTAATTCAATTAAGAAAGGAAACATTTCAGTTATGGGAATATAATACCATCTCAGGGTCCTGGTGATATCATCAATAAGATCGAAAATCCTTCCCATAATACAACCTTCATCATTATGTATCTTTTATATTACAAGAAAGAAAGAAAAGGTGAAATAATAATGTTCAATGAACTTTGTCTCACAACAATTGTAATACAGCATACATATGCAGAAATGCACATGGTTGCATGTAGATAGACACACATGTGTAAAACAGAAAAGCACTGAGTAGCGTAGTGACTGTCATGCAGAGGCCATAGGCAGGGCTGGATATACATTTCAGGTGCCTGTCCCCTTGATCTCCCGATCCCCCAAAAACGGAAGATAAAAAAGGAGTTTAATGACATTATTAAAAAGAGTTGGTCTAAGCAAAATGACCACTTCACTGATCTGAAGTGGTCATGGTGGCATGAGTCTGTATGTGCAGCTTTTCCCACTGCACATACAGATACTGACCCCTTAGCTGACAGAGTTGTAATTTAACCTGCGCCAGTATCATTTGCCAACCAAGAACAAAGTTCTGAGCTGGTTAATGTCAATTCTGTGCAAAACCCCCCAAAAAATAAAAATTGCAATATATAATTTAAACATTTTGGACACATCATAAAGACAGTCAATTTAAATATTTTACTAATAGATTAGCGGAGTATGGGGCTAAAATACTTTGCACACCTCACTTTCAGCAAAACAGGCTATTTGGATTTCAGCAGACTACCTTCTGTTGACTCTGCAGATTCTGAGTTCTCATGTACATTTGACTTCCATGAAAGTGCAAAGAGTAGATCAGCTTTCCTTGCAATAAATTGCTGAACTTCAATGTTATCAACATTCCTTTCTTTCCTGAGAAAAGAATAACAATGTATACAGTTAAATATTGTGCATGATGAGCACAAGTGTGAAAAATATAAGCAAATACTACAACGTAAATAGGAACTGTCACTTGGAAGGATTTTTAATACAATGTCTACTAATACTCTACATTTAACATTTATGTGATCTTTATCCTGCAAATAAGAATCTTCATCTTGACGCCCAGTCATTGCTGCAAGATCTTTCCTTTATACTTGACATATACAAAGCATACAGAAAAGTGAAAAAATTAACCATGACGGGGAGTGGGGGATGAGTTATTTAAAAAAGTGTTCTTAAAAGTTAAATTCCAATTAAACTATCATTATGTAGTGAAAAAGAAAACTTGTGTGTATGGAAAAGACAGAAAGCTTGACAAATCTGTTCCGGTGAGAGAGAAAAAAAAAAAAAAAAGCCCTGTATAAGAATAAATGATAGTTATGATGCAAAAACAGCATCAGATTTAAAAAAAAATGAAAAAAGCCAACAAATGAATTGCACCAAAAATTAGACATAAAAATGTCAACAATAATCATCAAGTGTTTACATTTCTTTTCCCCATTATAAAGGTTGTGCCCTGACTGTGCCTGGTCTGAACTATGATGTAATTTGCTAAATGGTCACTTCCCAAGTAGTGATAGTTCCTTGTTCAGTCCCTTCAGTAAACATTATTTCAGCATTTACCTGGTTGAATAATGCATTGGAGGGAGGGAAAAATTTGTGGCAACTTTGCTGCCCCATGATGATGCTTCAACATTAACATTAGCCACCTGATGCAGCGTTTCACAGCAAAAAAATGTGTACATCCAGACTCTAGGCCCACTTCATATCACTGAAGTGACCATGGTGCTTGGAGTAACCCTTCAATTACTTTCCCTAGCAAGCATGTAAATTAAAGAAGTTTCCAGTTTGGGAAAGCAGACCCTCTTTAATAAAAATTAAAAATAAATCTTACAAGGTATTCACTAAAGTGAGAATTCAGTTACTTTTAAATTCAAGGTGAAAATGTTTTCAGTTTAGCTACTAAGGCCCTTAAAGAGACACTATAGTCACCCAGACCACTTCAGCTCAATTAAGTAGTCTGGTGCAATGTCCCTCAGGTTTTAACCCTTCAGATGCAAACATAGCAGTTTCAGGGAAACTGCTATATTTACATTTGGGGTTAAGCTAGCCTCTAGTGGCTGTCTCACTGACAGCCGCTAGAGGCGCAACTGCGACGCTGGAGGCATATTATGCCTCCATCGTGCAGAGCATCCATAGGAAAGCATTGAAAAATGCTTTCCTATTGACAGCTTGAATGCACGTGCGGCACTTGCGCATTCGGCTCCGCTGACATCAGGGGAGAGGAGAGGTCACCAGAATAAGGTTAGCTGCTGAAGGGGTTTTAACCCCTACAGCGCCACGGGAGGGAGACCCTGAGAGTGGTGGCACCCTCAGGGCACTATAGTGTCAGGAAATCTGCTTTGTTTTCCTGACACTATAGTGATCCTTTAAGGTGAAATTCACTTTGAAGTCTCACTTTAGCGAATAACCCTAATAATATTAAATGGAAAATCCTAAACACAAGACTCTAAATGTATTATTCAATGTTGTAATTTCCAGAGAAGATGCAGTTCCCCTTTAAAGGAACACTCCAAACCCCTAAAGTACTTTAGCTTGCGGAAATGATTTCTGTGTGAAGAATGTGTCCTTTTTTCAAACCATTTTGCAAAAAGTCTAGATTTCTATAAAATTTTGTGAACTTTTATAAATCATCATCATCATTAAACCCACCCCCAGCTATCAATCTGACAACCATTCCTGTTACTTACTGGTTTGCTCAGAGGGGCTAAACTCAAGAGGCAGCAATTGCTCAGAGCACCTGACTGATAGGACTTCTCATTGAGCTGCACTGGGAAACTGGGAATACTGTGATAGGGAAGTCACAGAAAGCCTGGGCTGGAAAAGAATAGAAATGTTTGCAAAGGCTGCAGACAAGATATCTGCAGCTTTTGCAAGCTATAAAAACAATTTGTGTGTTTTTGAGTGATTCACACAGGTGATTGTAGCACTCTTATCATATTCTTACTTTTGTATTTTTATTGTCAGCTTTTGCAAGCTGTTAGACATACCTCCATTGAAAAAAAAATGCATAATTAAATACATGCATGATTTCATTGAGGTTAAGTTTACTAATTAGTGATATTTTACATATTTTTGTTAATTGAGCAGTGGAGTATTCATTTAAATATGATACCATATAGTGATTTTTTTTGTATTACTTAGTAACGTGATATGCATAAAGTTGTATAAAATACATAGCTCACAAAATGTTTGTCTAAGATTATTAAAGTTTAGTATGAGTGAATAGCAATATTTGACAACATAAACACGAGTATGAATAGTTTATAGCAATGTGTGATAAGTTTTCAGCTGCCTTCACAGCAATGCAAGGTATACATGTTATACACCTAGTATGGTAGGTGTAACAAGCACTGTATTACATTGTGGGATTTATTCACTAAGCAGTGGACTGTAGTGATTTTAAAACTGAACTTAAAAATTTAGGTTAAAACAGCTGTGATTAAAAGGTAAAATTTATACTTTTTTTCAAAAGCTGCTATTTAGTTTTCAATTCACTATATATCACGGTTTAGTGAATGCCCAATGTGAGCCATAGCATTCACAGTAACGTAAGAGGGAGTCATATCGTACAGCAGGGGTAGGCAACCCTTGGCACTCCAGATGTTGCGGACTACATCTCCCAACATTTCAACAGCATTAAGGGAGATGTAGTCCGCAACATCTGGATTGCAGTAGGTTGCCTACCGCTGCAGTACGGTATGAAACAAAGTACTTACAGAGACCAGAGGTAGGCAAGTTATATAGTGATACAGTGTAGAATCCAGAGGCAGGCAACCTTCTGCGCTGCAGATGTTGTAGACTACATCTCCCATGATGCTTTGCCAGCATTATGGCTGTTAGAGCATTCAGGGAGGTGTAGTCCCATAGCACTCACAGTAAGTTTTTGTTTTTATAAATTGTATGACATACTGCCACACAGTAATAAGGGACTGTACTTGGTAATTAAATTGTGGTCATTCAGTGGTCAAATTACTTGTGTAAACAATGCAATCTTGCTCTCTAGGACTAACCTATGGAGATAACTCTGCCCTGCACCCCAGCCATACAGCTATCCCAGCCATGCACTCACACCCCAGCCATACAGCTACCGCAGCCATGCACTCACACCCCAGCCATACAGCTATCCCAGCCATGCACTCACACCCCAGCCATACAGCTATCCCAGCCATACAGCTATCCCAGCCATACAGCTATCCCAGCCATACAGCTATCCCAGCCATACAGCTATCCCAGCCATACAGCTATCCCAGCCATGCACTCACACCCCAGCCATACAGCTACCCCAGCCATGCACTCACACCCCAGCCATACAGCTACCAGAGTTATGCACTCCACACCCCAGCCATACAGCTATCCCAGCCATGCACTCACACCCCAGCCATGCACTCACAATCAAGTAGGCCATGCACTCCACACCAAGAGCCATGCAGCTATCCCAGCCATGCACTCACACCCCAGCTACGTAGCTATCCCAGCCATGCACTCACACCCAGCCATGCACTCACACCGCAGCCATGTAACTCTCACACCCCAGCCATGCAGCTATCCCAGCCATGCACTCCACACCCCAGCCATGCAGCTATCCCAGCCATGCAGCTATCCCAGCCATGCACTCACACCGCAGCCATACAGCTATCCCAGCCATGCACTCACACCCCAGCCATGCACTCACACCGCAGCCATACAGCTATCCCAGCCATGCACTCACACCCCAGCCATGCAGTTACCCCAGCCATGCACTCACACCGCAGCCATACAGCTATCCCAGCCATGCACTCACACCGCAGCCATACAGCTATTCCAGCCATGCACTCACACCCCAGCCATACAGCTATCCCAGCCATGCACTCACACCCCCAGCCATGCAGCTACCCCCAGCCATGCACTCCACACCACACCATACAGCTACCCCAGCCATGCACCACACCGCACCATACAGCTGGTCCCAGCCATGCACTCCACACCGCAGCCATACACCCCACACCCCAGCCATGCAGCTACTCCCAGCCATGTGCAGCTACCCCAGCCATGAAGCTATTCCAGCCATGCACTCACACCCCAGCCATGCAGCTATCCCAGCCATGCACTCACACTCCAGCCATACAGCTACCGCAGCCATGCACTCACACCCCAGCCATACAGCTACCGCAGCCATGCACTCACACCCCAGCCATACAGCTACCGCAGCCATGCACTCACACCCCAGCCATACAGCTACCGTAGCCATGCACTCACACCCCAGCCATACAGCTACCGCAGCCATGCACTCACACCCCAGCCATACAGCTACCGCAGCCATGCACTCACACCCCAGCCATGCACTCACACCGCACCATACAGCTACCGCAGCCATGCACTCACACCGCACCATACAGCTACCGCAGCCATGCACTCACACCGCAGCTGTTTGAAGTGATGGGAGCAGCCAGTCCCGGGTAACAGCTCACTGAGCTGGCTGGCTATCTGTCTGTCTCTCGGTCACCGTGTCTCCTGTCCCCATGGGGGCCCGGCCATGTTTGTTACCTGTACTGCGGCCATTTGGACAGGTCGCCGAGCAGCTGCTGGAAGCCCGCATGCTCGTGTTGCTCGCACCGTAACAAGGACAACAATGTAGGGCCGTGATGGCTGAGACACTGCCGCACTAAGTCTTTCTCCATGGCACAGCCACAAGGCCAGCTCATCACACCACGACAACCATTGCAATGCAGGCCGAGCAACTGCGCCGCTACACCAATAACAGCGAGTGTTATTGGTCGGCACGGAGTGTGGCGATGAAAGCTGTCCCCTGATTGGTGACTGTTGAAGAAAGCGAGCGGCCATTTTTACTATGGGCAAAATGACCATTTCAGTAGGACCAGAGCAAGTTTCACGGATTGGCCATAATAATAAAAACAAAGCAAAAATACAAGTTTATAAAAATAAAAAAAAAGTATTCAGATACATGCAGGGTTGTACAATAAACTGAATTATGGATATTTGCCACGAGTATTTAAAAAATTAGGTTTAAAATAGCTGAGCTGGAAAAATGAGCACATATATGTTTATTTATAAAACTATAGTAACTACCAAATGAAAATCTGAATTGGAAAAATTCAGGCTAAAATACTGTAGCTGAACTGTAACTATAGCCGAAGAGGCAAATTTTTGCAGGGTGGCTAGTTTTGACTTGCTTTTGCTATTCAGATTTCAATTCACTACCGCGTGTAGTTTTGTAAATAACCAAGTGAGTTACACATTTTTGCCAGTTTGGTTATTTCTGCTTGAAATATCCACACACTGTCCCCCCCCCAGTCTTCCCAATCACCTGACATCTAGCTCTGACACTCTGTGTTGGGAGGACTGAATGTAAGTGCAACACATTAAATATGATGGTGTTGCAGATAGAGTGATTTCAGACCATTTAAACCCATACACAAACATAAGAGCAGAGCTCACATGTAGGCAGTCCTCCACAGGTGACATGATATGGTATTGAGCAGAACACCTCCCTCTTGCCATAGCTCAACCTGGAAATCTTGTACTTAATGGGACACTATAGTCACCAAAACAACTTTACCTTAATGAAGCAGTTTTGGTGTATAGAACATGCCCCTGCAGCCTCACTGCTCAATGTAGGAGTTAAATCCCTTTGTTTATGCACCCTAGTCACACCTCCCTGCATGTGACTTGCACAGCCTTCCTAAATACTTCCTGTAAAGAGTCATCTAAAGTTTATCCTTCCTTTTTTTCAAGTTCTGTTTAATTTAGATTTTCTTATCCCCTGCTATGTTAAAGGACCACTATAGTGCCAGGAAAATATACTCGTTTTCCTGGCACTATTGTGCCCTGAGGGTGCTCCCACCCTCAGGGTCATCCTCCCGCCGTGCTGGATGGAGAGGATGGAGTTAAACTTACCTCTTTCTCCAGCACTGGGCGGAGAGCTCTCCTCCTCCTCTCCTCCTCTCCTCCTCTTCGGCTGAATGTGCATGCGCGGCAGGAGCCGCGCGCGCATTCAGCCAGTCTCATAGGAAAGCATTTACAATGCTTTCATATGGACGCTGGCGTCTTCTCACTGTGAAAATCATAGTGAGAAGCACGCAAGCGCCTCTAGCGGCTGTCAAGAGACAGCCACTAGAGGCTGGATTAACCCTAACATATGTTTATAGAAAAAAGGGTTAAACCTAGCTGGACCTGGCACCCAGACCACTTCATTAAGCTGAAGTGGTCTTGGTGCCTATAATGGTCCTTTAATAGCTTGCTAGACCCTGCAAGAGAATCCTGTACGTGATTAACGTTCAATTTACAGAGCAAGAGATATAATTGTTCAATGGTAAATTACATCTGATTGAAAGTGAAACCAGTTTTTTTTTTCATGCTGTGTCAATCATTGCCAGAGGAGGTGAGGCAGGGGCTGCATAAACAGAAACAAAGTGATTTAACTCCTAAATAGCAGTGAATTGAGCAATAAAACCTGAGAGGCATGATCTATATACACTAAAACTACAGTAAAAGTTGTTTAGGGAACTAAAGTGTCCACTATACCTAGTGTCCACTATACCTAGAATTGTATAGAACTAGACATTTTAGTTTGATCAAAATTATATTAGTACTTGAGTATTGCAGCAACTTACACGTTAAATTAATTATTCTCAGTGTAATATTGTATATTATATTATTTACAGAAGAACTTTATAGTAATAACCATTTCTATTTCTTTCTTTATGAATTTATTTAGCCACTGGAGGTTTTTAGCAGAATGTATTAGTATGCATTACAATGTCTCTGTGTATTTCTTATGCATATTATCAATTGAATTACTAGGCTTTACATATTTGCATTTGTACAGAAAATACAAAAATATAAGTGGATAAAAATACAATCCGTGGTAACCTTTAAAGGGACACTAATCACCAGAACAACTATAGCTTATTGTATTTGTTCTGGTGATTATAATCATTCCCTGCATACTTTTTTTGCGGTAAAGACAGTCTTTCCAGAGACAATGCAGTGTTTACATTGCAGACAAGGGATGCCCCCACTGGCCACTTCTCAGATGGCTACTAGAGGTGCTTCCTGGGGCAATGCTGCACACTGACATTCAGTGTCTCCACCCTCCGCATGCAGACACTGAACCTTCCTCATAGAAATGCATTGATTTAATGCATCTCTATGAGGAGATGCTGTTTGGCCAGGGCAGCGTTTGGCTATGGGAAGGCATTGTGATTGGCTGAGATCACCACTTCTGATGATGTCACCAAGGAGGCAGATCAGGGGCAGAGCCAGCAGTAGCAGACTGGTGGGCTGTGCTGCCATCCTTCCCTGGTGGTCCAGTGGTGAGAGTGAACTTTAGCCTGCAACGCTCAGAATCCCGCAAGAGGACCCGGCGGAGCTGCTGGTTAGAGCTCCGCCGGTCCTTTCCTGCCTCCCTCCCTCACCCAGCCTGCTGGCGGCCGCCTGTAACTGCCTTTGGGCCGGTGAGGGAGATCTTTGATCTCCCCACCGGCCCATGGAGGCACACAGCGGGGCCGGCGCTCGGATAGTGCTGGCCCTGCAGGGGCTGACAGGGGAGATCCTGTGATCTCCCTGCCGGCCTCGGCCCCACGGCCATCGCGGCCCACCGGGCATTTGCCCGGTATGCCCGATGGCCAGTCCGGGCCTGCATGAAAGTACTTATACAACAGACAGCACATACCTCTTATTAATGCCAGTGAGTATTTATTTATTAACACAGAATGTAAATAACTTAAATTGTCTTAACAAATTTCCAATAACGTATATATGCTCTAATTTTTTAAAGTATAACAATGGTATATAAAGCTGACTTTTGATTCGCAGGTGTTTGAATTACTAGGTTCACTATAGGAAGGTAATACAACTGAGCCAATGGATTTTATTTATAAATATATGAAAAAATTATTCTGGGACAAAGTCGCAGAACAACATATAGCTAAAGCTATATTATCTAAAAAGACCTCTTTTATTATAGTGATTTTTAGATTTTTGCTAAACCCTGCCAGTGAAGTACTAAAATGTGCATTGTATAGTCTGCGCTGTCTTATGATTGGGTGAGCTACTTTGCTCAGCACCTAAACTTTTAATTGTATTTCAGAATGTTCAAGAAAAAAAAAAGTTATCCTCATATAATACAAGGCTCCAGACATTAATCATATTGCAGGGACAAGGCTGTGCTCTAATGGACTTTAAATTAAATTTGCATTAAATTATGTCTAAAGAGTAGCAGGAGATAACTGATAATAAATGAGTTCATTTAGCAACAGTGTGATGTGAGCAACTGTTATGTTCCAAAGCAAAATCTGTTTATCTCTGAGTGAATGCTGATTTCGTTATGTTATGCAACAGATAGGTACTTAGTCTCTCAATTAAAAAAAAAAGAAACAAACATATTTTGACTCAGTAAATACCAATGGCTAAATGCTCTGATCATATTTCATTTTTGTAATATATTCTGCTTACGTAGCAAAATATGTGGGCTCAGAATACCCTAAATTAACTTCTACTACTGCTACTGTATTCCACCATCCTTGCACTTGTAGAATCTTCGTTCGTCTTTGCAGAGCTTGTCCAACTTATTCTCCAACCAACAATATCTGAATGTGTACAGTGTAAGAGCTGATTATTTCTGTCTCTCTTTCTTTATGTAACCGTGTCAGGATGTCATTGCATGTTTTTGGCACTGCCTATCCAGTGCAAAATATAAAAAAATGTAAGTGCTCAGGATGGAATAGTCCCTGGAGAGCACAGGGCTAAACATCCCCTTGGGACGAGAAAAACAATAACGACATTTAATCTTGCCAGCCAGTTTCCACTCTGATTATGCTGAATCCCATTTTCTATTTATGACCACCCTGTTAACACAGACTAATAAACACTTATTATAGGGGTTTAAAGTTTGGGTTAGGATTAGGGGCAGATAGAGTTAGAGGGTGTTTAGGATTTGAGGGGACTTAATGTTATGCTGACTTATGGTAAGGAATGACTTTCCTCTAAATCATGGGTGTCCAAAAGGTAGATCCCCAGATGTTTTAAAACTACAGCTTCCACAATGCTTTGTCATTCTAAAGCAGACCTGTACAACTTGACAGTAGGTGGGGGACAAAATTAAGAAGGCTAAGCTTCTTTGGGCCGCAGATAGATTTTTAGCGCCTTACTTTCCAAGTAAAGGTATAAAATTACATATAAACACACACACACACTCTGACAGACATACAAATACACACACCGGGATATACACAGATGCACATAGACAGACACACTGATAGAAATAAAGATATGCATACAAAGACAGACACACACTGAAATATATACAAATACATACACAGTGACAAATATACTAAGTATGCAAGTCAAAATATACACTTTTTTTGAGTCACCCTCCAGTTTCCTACCTTTTGGGTGCTGGGGAGTGGCTCCCCTGGTGTCCTGTCTGCAGGTTGAGTATGTTGGGAGTTAGGGGCTGGCTCTTGCAGCCTGCTCTCCTCTTCTCCGGACTTCTCCTCTGCTCTGTCCTGACTGGGTTGTTCCTTCCTCCAGTGACTTAGGTAGGAAGTGACCTTCCTCCTGTGCTGCCAATGAGCAAGTGGCCCAGTTGTGCTGGTAAATGCACACAGTGCCCGAATGGGCCCCTTGCTAAAACATGTCCACCAGGTGGCCCTGAGAATTCCCTGAGAATGGGAACTCCTATTATGATTAGCCCTAAGTCACCCTAAACTCCCACTAATAAAAATTAATGGGG